TAAAAAAAAAAAAAAAAAAAAAAAAAAAAAAAAAAAGTGATTGGTGCGACGAGTTTTGAGCCTCGGCGCTAGCCGTCGCCCATCCTGCCGCGGAGCTGGCCGCGCCTGCGCGTTGAGTTCCGGAAGTTGGTGTTTCGGTCAGCGGGACAACGCGGCAGCGACTCTCCAAAGCGAAGCCGGGAGTTTTCGCCACTCTTGTCGCCGCCATGAGCCGCAGTTATAACGATGAACTGCAGTTCTTGGAAAAGGTCAATAAAAGCTGCTGGAGAATCAAGAAGGGCTTCGTGCCCAACATGCAGGTGAGGCGGGGGAGCAGGACCCGGTGCCGGGGCCTTTCCGGCTGGGGGCCCGCGGCGCGTCTCTACCCACCCGGCCCGGTCTCCTGCGAGCCCTCCCGACCCCTCGCGCGCCGGAGAGGCCCCCGCCCTCAGCAGAGTTCCCATGCCTCAACTCCGACCCCACCCACTCCTCCCGCCTCCGGGGCTGCCCAACCTGTGCCGGCCCCACCTCACGGATGGAGAGGTCCCCGAACCGCGAGGACGAGCAAAGCGGAGTGCGTCCAGGGAATCCCAGTAAATACGAAATTGGCCTTTGCAAAGCGTCTTCACACAGAAGTCTCATGAACGCACCGTGAGATGTGTTACGTCCCTGAGCCTTAGAGACATTAGTGGCCTTTTACTAGGTGGCACAGCCAGTCCGGGGTTCAGTTGCTGGGACTGAACTCCGCTTCTCTGAGTCATACCAGTCATTTACATAACGTTTACTGACCTGTGTTCGCTGAACCAAGTTTCTAGCATTCACTGCTCCGTGTTGGTTTTGTTGTTGGTTTTTTAATTGACATGCGCGGGGTTTTAATACAACGATCTTGCTTCTCGTGGCAACCTAGAAAGTTCACAGGGCAGGTTTTTTCTTTTTAGTATGCACTTCGCAGTAGGGCTTTGAGCGTGAGTCGGTTACACGGCTTCCTTTACTCACCCAGTAGAAGCTCAGCTAAGACGTGATGTCCAGTTCACTTATTTTTTCTCTGACAGGATGACGTATTCCCGATGGAGACTTGGGAGCCCGATACCAGAGAGTTTGAAAGCCAGGTCTCTATCTCTTGGGCTTCCTTGTCATTTGTGCTTATGGTCTTCCATTAAAGTGAAGAAGAAGGCATTTGTGAGGTTTTGGTGCATATGTTGTTAGACGGCTTTTGAAATCCCTTTAGGTGCCCTGCAACTGTATTGAAGGTTTGTGATCCTGCGTCTTGGTAAAAGTTCCTGATAGCCGCTCCACCCTTTTACTCAATATTAAAACTTATTGAGCACCCCCGATGAGCAAAGCGCTTAGCTAGGCGCTGAGCGGAGAAAAAGCCCATAGTCGCAAACCTCCCTTTTGCTCTCTTTTTTCCTTTGACTAGTTTCTTTTTATGGAATCCAGTTCCCTGCATGGAGTAGAAAATAAAAAGCATATGATCATCCTAAGAGGATTGTAACACACACTGTTGTGTTCCGTCATCAATTCTGGCTTAACTTTTGATGCACACACTCCTCATTCTGCTTGGGGACAAGTCTGATTTTTGCTAGGCAGTTCCAGTTTAACTATTTGAACAACACTTTACTACCACCCCTCCCTTGGGAATGGAGAGTTGAAATCTTGATATATTGCTCTTAAAAAATTACTGACCTTTATGGTAGGCTTGTGTTGTATTCCCAGTCTCATGAGAGTAGTGAACTTCACACTTAAAATTCCCTGTCTCTCTTGCTTAATCTCCATTCCTCCTGTAAGAACCGTGTGCTGCACTAAAAATTCATCTTTGTTCCTTAAAAATACTTCTCTCCCATCTTAATGTCATCTTTCCATTCATCTCCTAAATGTGTTGCTGCTGCTCCAGTAATGTCTCTTGTCTTTAAAGAGCCAGCTCAGTGTTCACAGAAAATGAACAAACTGTGAAGCGCACCCCCACCCCGGCTACCGCCTCCCTAGACTGCTGAGCCCCTTCTTCATCAGATTCTTCCGTAGTACTCTGTGCTTCTATTACAGCATTTGCCTCATTGCACTCTACATTTTCTAGTCTGAGCTTCATGCTAGACTAGAAGTTCCACAGCATCACGATCTTGCATGTTCTCTGTATCTCCCCTACTGCGCAGTACAGTGCCTGACACATAATGAGTCCTCAGCAAATGTTTGGTGAATTAATAAATGTGGCCCTTTGGAAAATTGAGACATTTTCCATAACTGGTATTGTTATTCATGCAGTGGTAAGATGCAGAAGTCATCTTTCTGATAAATAAATTTCCTTGTCCAGATGATTGTTAAATCTTTGGTTCTTCAATGCTAGGCAGATCCTTCATAATATTTGATCTCTGATTAAAATGTTCTGTCCTTTGGTGTTACATAGTCATGTCTTCCATTGCCCTTTGTGTGCCTCTATTGTCAAGCTTTTTTATCCCCTTAAAATTACATAGATGGTAAAACTAAGCACACAGCTATATAGCTACCTGTTAAAAATTTTTTATTCACTGTTTACCTAAGTACAGATTTTTAAATCAGAATAGGACACAGTAAAGTGTAGTGTGCTGTTGTCTTAGACCTAGAAAAAGTACACTTAGGTCAGATGACTGCATTTTTATGTTTAGATCTGAGTTTTTGATTCATTTATTTTTTTCAAAACCTGCTGATATTTTAGAAGCACAAGAATACTGAGACCTTTGGCCTTAGTGAGAGCATTGTTGGAAGACGTTTCTTTATCACACACACACAAAAAATATTTTACCTGTTGAACTTTTAAATATGGCCTATGAGAGTAGGAGAATAAACAAAATGATCTGTGAACATTGTAAAATACACTTTTAAGATATATTTAAAGATGGGAACATCTTGTAAGAAGTTTTCTGCTTGTTTAAGGTAGCGTGAAAGTGTTTTATAAAGAGTAAAGCAAAATAAATATTGCCTACAGTGTTTGTATTCTAGCCTGTACTTATATACATCAGGTCCATGTGCTCAGACATAATTCTTCCTTTTTTTTGGTCCCAGGTTGAAGGAGTTTTCTATGTGAATGATGCTCTGGAAAAATTAATGTTTGAAGAATTAAGGAATGCCTGTCGAGGTGGTGGTAAGTAAATTAGAGTTTGACATGTGGCAGTACAAGTAGTGTCTACCTTGTGGCCTGAAAAATGGTAACTCAAATAATTATAATTTAAAAATACAAAAGTGTTGTCAAGGAATGATCAAGACTTCAAATGGGACGAGAACCCGTTACTTATTCGTGATCACATTGTTAGCCACCTGGCCTTGTAGAAAGCAGTTGGAGCTGGATGGACTTGATTGGTTTTGCATCTAACCTCGGACAGTAATAACAAGAGCTACCATTTATTGTGCACTTACTATGTGCCAGGCACTTTACATAGGTTATCTCATGTAATTCTTAAAGTAAGAGGATATCTCCATTTTACAGATGTTTAAGTCAAGGCTGAGTGAAGTTAAGTCATTTTAATTTGTCCAAGATTGCACAGTCTCTCAGTGACAGAATCAGAATTCAGATCCAGGAGTGTCTGATTACAAAGTCAGTGTACTGATTAGCCTCATTGAACTTCAGTTTTCTCATCTGTAAAAGAGAGTTTATAATACCTATCTTGCAAGACTACAGGGAGGTTTAGAGATAAATGCATAAAACTGTAATATAACATTCTAGTGGTGATGGTAGAATAGAAATCTAGTTTTAACCCTTTTATTTTTTTAGTCAACAAACCTAAAATAAATAAGTCTCATCCCGCCCCCCACCAGGGTGTGCTGACTTGTCTGAAATGACACACAGCCAGTGACAGAGCTGAGATTAGAACTCCAGATCCCCTGACTCTCCATCCAGTGTTTTCCCAACTCTTCCAAATTGCCCTCCTTTGTCACTTAGAATACAACCAGTACTTTTCTTTTGATATATATTATGAACAGTTAAAAGAACCCTTTTTTTATACTGATAACATAAGGTATAATGATTATGTTTTACATCTCCCTGTACAGTATTTGCAAGCAATCCTCCGTGGTATGCACAGAATACTGACAGCATGTTTGTAATTAGCCTGGTTGCCCTCACTACCTTCCTGTGCATGTGTTGCCTTCTTTTCCACTTCATCTCTAACACCCTTTTATGCTTTGTTGTTTGAGCAGTCCTAACCACTACCCCTTCATTAACGCAATCCAGAAAAGTATGAATACACTTCAGCTAAAAATCAAATATGTCCTCTTTTCTAACATTGAAATTTTGTTTTCAGGTGTTGGTGGCTTCCTGCCAGCCATGAAACAAATTGGCAATGTGGCCGCCCTGCCTGGGATTGTTCATGTGAGTCTATGTTCACAGTTTTAATCACTCATATTTTTTTTTAGTCTGAAAGTTTATTGAATGGATGAATGGCCATGCCTAACTGATAATGGTGTCATTTAGACAGTGACCTTCAAACATCTAGAAATAACCATGGAATTTAAAGAAATAACTGAGTCTGGGTAACATCTCAGTTTCTGGTTGCCTTTAGCCAGAATCTATACGTGTTTGAGAACCTTTGAAGTAGATTTTGTTTTCTTGTTGTACACATTACTCATATCAGTTTGCCACCAGTGAAAGTTTCACTGTGGCCTCATTTAAGAGGTTGATTGGAGAAAGATTGGCAAGAATTGTAAGGGTTAGGACTGAGGGGAGGGACAAAGGGCAATATAGCTGTTGTGGATATGATTGGAAAAGGAGGGTGGTGGCGATGGTGGGGATAGAACTGGATGGCACAAGTGGGGCCCTCACCCGAGTCTACATTCAGATTCCACCATTAGAGGTAGATGTTAAATCCATTCAACAGACATTTTTTGAGGTCTTTATGCCAGTTTCTCTGCTGGGCACTTGGGAGGAGAAATGAAAAGACATGGCTTGTGCATTTAAGGAACTCGTAAGTGTCCAGGTGTCTGCATGTATTCCTACCATGTTTTGACCTCCATTCTTCCTGGGTCAGTATCCTTTTCTAGGCCCCAGATGTAGAAATTGTACAGTTTTCATACCATCAAATGGATTACATTTGTCTCTGATTACTTAAAACACTAAGGACCTGTGTAAATCGGGTATTTTCCTCCTGTCAGCCTGACATGACCACAATCTGTCAATCATCTTTAAAATGTAATAATGCGTTAAAGTTAGTATGTGGTCCTCCTATATCATGTGGTACTAAGGCTTTTCTCTTTTCAATTTTCTTAATGTCAGACTTTGTAAAAAAGTTTTTCCTGCTATATTTGGCTTTACGATTAGGAATTTTTACACCTAATTTCCACCAATAGAGAAGATTTCATGAAAACGGAATCTTGATTTAGGAAAGGCCCCCCAGCCTATTTGAGAGTTAGTGTCAGGTCTATCAGGCAGCCAGAGTGCCAGTGAGAAAGCTGTATTTTATTTTCTGATTCTCTTTCAGCGATCCATTGGGCTTCCTGATGTCCATTCAGGTTATGGGTTTGCTATTGGGAATATGGCAGCTTTTGATATGAATGACCCTGAAGCAGTGGTATCCCCAGGTAAGGTCACTGTGCATGTCTGCTGTCAGGTGTGTAGCTTCTCTCAGAATCGTAGCCTTTCTAAAATAGAGCACGGCTGCAGTTTGTGTTTGAATGTCAGCCTCATCATATTCTATCATTTCTTTTCCCCATTTACTGAGAGGCTGTTGAAATATCAAGTAAAGCATATATTTATTTAAAGTTATTTGGGCTCCTACTGTGTGCCAGGCACTATTCAGACATGGGCCACAAAAGAAACTGAAACACTTCCCTGGCAAATTATACATCTTCTTTGTGTCCCAGTTATCTCTTAGGCAAATTGTAGTTAATAATGTTATTTACTACATAGCATAATTGTGAGGATTAAATTCATTAAGCTGTGTTAAAATACTTAGAACAATGCTGGACACATAGGAAGTACTCGGTAAGTGTTTACTGTCATTAGCATCATTATTAGTCACTTGTAGTTGTATACTTCTTTTCTGCTGTGGTGTGCTTCCACTGAAAATGTTTCACGCTGGAAGTAATATCTTTGTGTTCAGAGGCTGAAAAAAAAGAGGAAAGGTTGAATTGTGTCTTGAGAGTTCTGCCTCCAGCAGCAGTGGACAAGGTCATTTCAGGCAATCCTTTGCTGAGAACAACGAGAAAAGCTGCGTGAAATTTTTAAAACAGAGCCAAAAACGCATCTGTTGAAACCATAAAAAAACTACAGAGGCAGTAAGAATTTGTGAGGCTAAGATCCAGAGGAAAAGTGCAGATACATGAGCCCAACATTTAGCACTATTTTTCTCTTGAGGAAAAGGCAGATTTCAATCAGTAAGGACACATGATTTGAACAATCCTGTTACAAACGTGACACCTTGATCTCTCATATACATGAGTGGTTGTGCATGCATCCACATTACAGTGCATCCAAGAACTGTAGAGTACACATTCTTTTCAAGTGCACACAGCATGTTTACCAAAATTGACCATATACTGAGCCGTAAAGCATGTCTCAAATTTCAAAGCATTGGGCTTCCCTGGTGGCGCAGTGCTTGAGAGTCCGCCTGCCGATGCAGGAGATGGGGGTTCGTGCCCCGTTTCGGGAGGATCCCACATGCCGCGGAGCGGCTGGGCCCGTGAGCCATGGCCGCTGGGCCTGCGCGTCCGGAGCCTGTGCTCCGCAAATGGGAGAGGCCACGACAGTGAGAGGCCCGCATAACGCAAGGAAAAAAAAAAAAAAAAATTACAAAGCATTGAAATCATACCTCAGCAGTTCTCAAACTTCGGGCTCAAGACCCCATTACGTTCTTAAAATTATTGAGGGTTGATCTCAAAGGCTTTTATCAATGTTTACCTTACTGGAAATTAAAACTGAGAAAGTTTGGAAACAATAATACACAAGGACATGTCTCATTACCCCTCAGAGCAAGCAAGTTATCACATGTCATGTAGCCTTTGGAAAACTTCACTGTACAGTAGAGAGAATACTTTTGAAAGGCTAATAATGTCTTAGCATTGTTACACAATTAATCCTAAAGGCCTGAAAGAATTCCTGGGTCACACCTAAGAACCACTGATATAGAGGATACTATCCTACCACAGCGGAATTAAGTTAGAAATCACATAACAATAAAAACCTGGGGGAAAAAAACTATGTTTATGAGTTAAGCAATATGCATTTAAATAACCCATGGGTCAAAAACAAAAAATCGTAATGGAAACTACAGAATAATTTTAACTGATCTTAATTTAAAAAATACCTGTCTAAAAATTGTGGGTTACTGTTAACGCCATACTTGGATAGAAGTATATAGCCTTCAGTGCACAAATTAGAAAAGAAGAAGGGCTGCGGTGTCAGTGATCTAAGCATCCATCTCAAAAAGTTAGAAAAAGAACAACTAATTAAACCCAGAAAATGTAGATAGGTGGAAATAATTGAGCAAGATTAATGAAACAATATACAGTGGTAAGGATCAACAAAGCCAAAAGTTGGTTCTTTGAAAAGACTAATAGAATTCATAAACCCCTGACAAGAGTGATCAAGAAAAAAAGAGAAGCATGTAATTCAAATTTTAATCTCTAGTCTAGATGTTACTTGTTGTTCATTACTGCCTCCTTGACCCACAAATTACCTTTAGTATGTATTTACTTTAAATTTTGTTGTCCTCAGACTTTACCCACAGAGAACCACTTTGTTGGCTCCTTTAAAACATAGCTATATTTAAAAGAGTGGCTGTCTTTTAAACCCTTTATTAATAGTGGGAAACCACAGGTAACAAAGCCTAACTACCTGGTTTCGCTAATATTTGACTAACTTTTCTCTATTTTGTAGGTGGCGTCGGATTTGACATCAACTGTGGTGTCCGCTTGTTAAGAACCAGTTTAGACGAAAGTGATGTCCAGCCTGTGAAGGAGCAACTTGCCCAAGCTATGTTCGACCACATTCCTGTTGGGGTGGGGTCGAAAGGCGTCATCCCAATGAATGCCAAGTAAGAACGAAAGCTGCCAGTAAAGGGAGTGAGAGATAATAATCACACGACGCTCATGTTCATTTCCAGTGTAGGACACTTAGGAGATGGGGATTGTTCAGTCACTGTTGAAGAAGTGGTAACGAATGGTTTTTTTAAGCATGAGGTCTGTAACGTTCATTAGAGACATGAGTCAATTCATGTTCATCATGACAGCCTTTGACATATGGTAGAATTCATAATAGAATAATATCCACTGATGTTTACTGAGCACTTTCTATATGCAGAGCACTGTGCTGTAGTGTAGGTGTATATCATTTTGTGTAGATAATAACCCTAATATTATTCCTAGTTCACAAGAAAGGAAACTGAAGTTTAAAGAGATAATAGTAAATAAGCTAGTAAGTAAAGTCAGGATTCAAACCAAGGATCCTTTGGCTTCAGATGCTGTATTCTGAACCCCACTATCCTTTGTCAGTGAACCTGTATTGACAGCCTTCCTTTTTGGTTGATAGCACTGAGTGTGTTCTTCACCTAAGATGTTGTGTATTTCCAAAGTAGAAAATTCAATGTAAAGCTACAGCACAGTGGCCTTTTACATGGCCATTGATGTACTGTCATAGCTCGTGTAAAGCTGTGCACCTTACACTTTGCAGAAGGGTGTGCTTAATAAGTATGTATCATTAATATCTTTTGTTTTATCTAAAAGTTCATGTGAATTTTGCATTCTATTCAAATATATGTACAGACATTAATATTAAAATGTCTTTAGCTATTACCTGTTATACAACTCCCCTTTACCAAAAAACAAAACAAAAAAACTTGGAGTAAAATTGATACATTTGCAAGATGCTTATTCTGTGACTTTATGTGGTCCCTGAATGCAGTCCCACTTTGAAAAGCATACCTGGAACATCTAAATAAATTCCAAGCATCTTTACAAATACTTCAGGTAGGAATTTTGTCCTAATAAGTAATGTTTGAAATGGGCTGTTGTGGGGAGGGCCCATTGATCATTGTAATCTCTCCGGATGGTATTTTGTAAGAGGGCTAGACCTTAGGTGAAGATCAGAGCTTTTTCCTTCTAAGGGTTTAACGTGTGTGCACCTCAGCTTCAAAGTGCGGGTGCAGTAAGGCGACGTAGTACTTCTGTAAAGGTGGGAATGGACCTTAAAATTTAACCTGTGTTGGGCTTCCTTGATGGCGCAGTGGTTGAGAGTCCACCTGCCGATGCAGGGGACATGGGTTCGTGCCCTGGTCCGGGAAGATCCCACATGCCGCGGAGCGGCTGGGCCCGTGAGCCATGGCCGCTGAGCCTGCACGTCCGGAGCCTGTGCTCCACAACGGAAGAGGCCACAGCGGTGAGAGGCCTGCGTACCACAAAAAAAAAAAAAAAAAAATTTAACCTGTGTTGCCTGAGGACATTGAGATAGCTTTGTTTGTTAGTTGTAATTTTTCATAAGTTACTATGAAAAGTTAGTGTAGCTGTAGTAAAGTTGGTGGCAGATAATGATATTTGATTATGGTTATAAATTTTCTGTGGCTACTTAATCACTGCCTCATAGAATTCAGGATCAGAGAGATAAATAAGATTTGAAAAGTATGAGGGGCTGTGTAAATGTCAAGAACATTGGCATTTATAATTTTAATATTCAATTATTTATGTAACCGCTTTTCCTCAAAAAACTAGAGTTGCTGAGAGCATGAACTACATCTAGCACAATACCTGATACACAGGCAATAGTCAATATAGTTCTTTCTTTTGCCGTTTGAGATGTGGTCGTCTTTAGATTTTGATCTGCCTTGGCTGTGAAATGACCTGCACCTTGTTACTCACTCAGAGACTTGGAGGAGGCCTTGGAGATGGGTGTGGACTGGTCCCTAAGGGAAGGCTATGCCTGGGCTGAAGACAAGGAGCACTGCGAGGAGTATGGAAGGATGCTGCAAGCCGACCCCAGTAAGGTCTCTGCCAGGGCCAAAAAGAGAGGCCTTCCCCAGGTAGCGCTCACTTTGCAGGGGAAATGTTCATTTTTTTCATATTTTGTTTTTGTTGGGAGGAAGAAAAAAATCTGTCTTCCATGTAGTAAATATACCCCAGCTTTTTTCACATCAAAAGGAACACAAATTTGTTTGTTTATGCTTCATTGTTAATCTTTTAAAAAGCTATCAGGAGCTTGCAGGTGTTCATAAAATAAAACAAGATATCATGAATTAGAAGTGGATGGGAGGAAAATGGGATATGATTATAAGGCTTAAAATGTATACCAGGGCTTCCTTGGTGGCGCAGTGGTTGAGAGTCCGCCTGCCAATGCAGGGGACACGGGTTCGTGCCCCGGTCCAGGAAGATCACACAGGCCGCGGAGCGGCTGGGCCCGTGAGCCATGGCCACTGAGCCTGCGTGTCCTGAGCCTGTGCTCTGCAACGGGAGAGGCCACAACAGTGAGAGGCCCGCG